CTACCCCCGGGGGTCATGATTTGAACAAACTTGAATCTACACTATGTAATGAAGGTTTCACCTAAGTATTAACTTTTCTGGCTCAATGGTTCTTGAGAAGAAGATTTTTAAAAGATGACACCAAATTTTCACCAATTCTTAATTATCTCCCCTTGGAAGAAGGCGTGGCCCTTCATTTGAACAAACCTGAACCCCCTTTACCAAAGGATGCTTTGTGGCAAGTTTGGTTGAAATTGGCCCAGTGGTTCTGGAGAAGAAGTCGAAAATGTGAAAAGTTTACAGACGGACGGACAGACGGACAGACAGACAGACAGACAGACAGACGGACTACAGACAAAATGTGATCAGAAAAACTCACTTGAGCTTTCAGCTCAGGTGAGCTTAAAACTATTGATGCCTGAACTCCCATTGTGTAATTATCGGACTCCTCCAGGTAACTTTTGGACATTTAAAAAGCAATGTTTTAAGTAAGATATATGCCTCATACAATTCTATACGTAAAATTATCAGACTGTTTTCGGCCCTAACGGGCCTCAAACAGTCTGATAATTTTACATATAGAACAGTATTCGGCATATATCCATTACGTATTCAATCTCGAAAGTCCAATGAAACGGTACAAATTTGGAGCAGAGCAAACACAGACCTAAAAATTTAGAGGTGGGATCAGGTGCCATGTAGGAGTGAGCATCCCCTGCCGACAGGTCACACCTGCCGTGTGCTCCTTGTCATGATCGGGAAACAAAAACCGGGAAAATCCTTAGACAGTTCAGTATATAAATAATGGCCTAACAATTAGTATGAAAAACGTCAGTCAGCATTTGACTCAATGATAGGTTGTATGTACTGCCAAGGTCATTGTATCGACCGAAAAACTTGCGAAAAGATGACTTCAAACGAGACTGTTGATATCCTTGTTTCGTCCACTTGTCTGGCAATAGCTTGCTTTGTTTAAGAAATTGTTCATAATAGAGTATGCTCTTGCGTATCGAATCAACTGAGTGACATAAACCCCATATGCAGGTGATAAGGGTATATTGCTATATAAGTAAGGGAAGTTGACGATTGAAAAGTTGGAGACATCACGTTTATCATAAAGCTTTGTTGTCAGGTTACCATTAACGTCTTTTTCTAGTAAAATATCTAAATATAAAACAGATGTGTCAGAATCTGTGGTATCTTTCATTTCAAGCTCACTGGGATATATGGAGTCGACATATGAATGAAAGTAACAGTTGCTATTTGATAATACGTCGTCGATATATCGAAATGTCGAGTTAAAGGCCACAGCAAGTGTTTTTTTCTTCTTCTTATGTAGAATAAAGTAAACAAGAGGCCCAAGGGCCTTAACGGTCACCTGAGTACAACAATTTAGAGGATCCATCAACTGATAAATGAAGCTTTGTTGCCCAATAGCAAGAAAAATAGTACGATTCTGATCAACAAAATAATTGGTCTAGTATCTTCCTATCTGTCCCCCATTTATCACTATTACCATGCAGACTTTTAACAAAATGTATATATTATTACCTCTCACATTGGCCTCACTTGGCTTTTGAAGAACATTTAAGAATATAAGTTATTTTTGTTTCATTTTTATTCATCTATTATTTCAAAGTCTACCTGATTATAAAAACTATGAAAGTACTTTTTGTATTATATAATAAATGTTCTTGCATAATTCTCTTAATCTATTAACCTTTCAAATACATTATCTACAGTGATTAATTATCAAAAGTGAATGGAAAGGGGAATAACTTCACTCAACAGAATACAAATCAATAGAGCCCTGGCCAGGGCCAGAACACTTGACTAAATGGTCCAGATGTTCAAAATTCTGGTAAAAATACCCTTGCTTATTAAAACTTTTACTCTGTTTGCTTCCAATATGCCCAGGAGCAGAGGAGATTTTCGAAGAAATAATGCATTTTCACTATTTAACACAGCCCTACCCTATGACCTTGGGTCATGAAAATTACAAATTTGGAGGGGGTACCCTCATCATCATAACTATGCAATTAGTTGAAGATTTTCAAAGAATTCACACATTTTCAGTATAAAATCAAATAGAGCACCCCCCCCCTCCCTCATTGAAACAACAGAACCCCTGGGACAACAAGTTTAAAAAATTTTGTAAAAGCATCCTTGCTCATCATAACTATGCACTTGTTTCTTTGCTTTATAACCAGGAGTAGAAAAAAATATTTTGAAAGAAATTATGAATTTTCACTATATAATCAATAGAGCCCCCCCCCATTCTTCAGAACCCCTGACCCAGGGGCCATGAAATTCACAACTTTGAAAGAGGCAGCTATGCTCATCATAAAATATGTACTTAGTTAATTTATATAATACCCATGAGCAGAGAAGATGATTTTCAAAGATATAATGCATTTTCACTATATAATCAATAGAGTCCCACCCTAACACCAGAACCCCTGACCCAGGGGCCATGAAATTCACAATTTTGAAAGAGGCAGCTATGCTCATCATAAATATGTACTTAGTTAGTTTATTTCATACCAATGAGCAGAGAAGAAGATTTTGAAAGATATAAGGCATTTTCACTATATAATCAATAGAGCCCCCCCCCCCCCCCAACACCAGAACCCCTGACCCAGGGGCCATGAAATTCACAATTTTGGAAGAGGCAGTCATGCTCATTATAACTTTGTACTTACTTAGTTTATTTCATACCCAGGAGCAGAGAAGAAGATTTTCAAAGATTAAATGTATTTTCACTATATAATCAATAGAGCCCCGCCCTAACGCCAGAACCCCTGACCCAGGGGTCATGAAATTCACAATTTTGGAAGAGACAGCTATGCACATCATAAATATGTACTTAGTTAATTTATTTAATACCCAGGGGCAGAGAAGAAGATTTTCAAAGATATAATGCATTTTCACTATATAATCCATAGAGCCCCACCCTAACACCACAACCCCTGACCCAGGGGCCATGAAATTCACAATTTTGGAAGAGGCAGCCATGCTCATTAAAACTATGTACTTAGTTAGATTATTTCATACCCAGCAGCAGAGGAGAAGATTTTCAAAGATATAAGGCATTTTCACTATATAATCAATAGAGCCCCCCCCCCCCCAACAACAGAACCCCTGACCCCGGGGCTATGAAATTCACAATTTTTGAGGAGGCAGCCATGCTCATTATAACTATGTACAGTGGCGCCGCGTTTATCCGGACGCCATTTATCCGGACGCTTCACCATCCGGACGATACTTTTTGGGAACAGATTTTTTCCACGTTATTTTGTCTCATTAATCCGGAAATTCTCGTTCCGTATCCGGACGGTCAATTTCTACTACAAAACATAATAGTTCATTGAAAAATGACTCGTTTATCCGGACGGTAATTTTTCAAGAAACGACATTTTCACACTTATCTTGCATTCGTGTTAATTGTTGTAAAAACATTGGCCATGCAGTCAGTTTGAAGGAGGTTACCTGTGACCTACAAACAATAGCGTCTATGATTAGCGTGTGTTTATCCCAATTCAATCACACGTTGAAGCTCAAAGAATCTAGCTGACAGTGTGCATTAATTAAATAATAATTCGTTCAAAATCATATTGCTAACCGTATATACATGTACATCGGTAAATTCAGGAGAATTTTGGAGAGTTGTAAATATAATGAACAATAAATAACGAGCGATTTCGTAATGCTCTTTATCATGTCGATTGCGTTAGTTTAAATTGCGATATTCCATTTTCTAAAAAATGTAAATGTATTTGAAACGCTTTTTCCCCACTATACAGCATAGAAAGGTACATAATTGAAGAAATAACTCTATTTAATGTACTACCGTTTGCAAACGTCCATTACATTTAAAACTGGCGTTACGTACAGAAGTTAATTACGTTTTTCAAGGTATTTTTTAATGATCGAAATTCAAACTTAGCGTCTTTAGAAAAAAAATAATATTGATAACCATGAAGATGGCTTGTGTTTACGAATGTTTTTAATACTTTGTTTGAGTTAGCTTGCAGTGTTCAGTTAATTTTATAGTAACCCTGTGTAATTAATATACGGGGAATATACTGGGCTAGGTTATATTTGAACATTTTCAATGATGATGCTGAACAGTTCTGTCATATCATATGAGCTTCAATAACTATAATATATGGCGAAATAAAACAACAATAGATCAAAATTTGCTCAACCCATGAAGTCACATGCCAAAGAGAAGGCGAATTAAAAAAAAAAAAAGAGGTCTCGGCATAAAATTGCCCATCCATTTTTTTTATTGTGTAAATTACATTTTAATATATTTTTTCATTAATCGATTACTGCTTTTAAAACAATTAACCAAAATATAATTTAAAAGTTTTTTTTCTTTGCTGTCACATTTGAAACAAGAATGTGCATACATACATACTTAGAGAGTGCTTTTTGAGATGTGATTCAATTATCCGGACGATTCATTTATCCGGACGATTTCGTTGGGGACAGAGGCGTCCGGATAAACGAGGCGCCACTGTACTTAGTTAGTTTCTCTAATACCCAAGAGCAGAGAAGAAGATTTTCAAAGAAATAATGCACTTTCACTATATGATCTATATAGCCCCACCCTAGCACCAGAACCCCTGACCCTGGGGCCATGAATTTCACAATTCTGGTAGAGGACTCAATGCTTATTACAATCATGCCAACAGTTTGACTGCTTGATGTCCAGGAGTAAAGAAGAAGATTTTTAAAGATTGCTTTAATTTTGGTGGTTTTAGCCCCACCCCTCAGGCCCCAGGGGGGCAGGGACCATGAAATTCACAATTTTTGTTCCCCTTTAGACATAGATGCCATATGCTAAAATTGGCTGAAATTGGTTCAGCGGTTTCAGAGAAGAAGCTGAAAATGTTCAAATGTTAACACACGACGGACGATGGACGACGGACGACGCACGACGACGGACGAAAACAGATAGCAATAGGTCACCTGAGTGACTCAGGTGACCTAATAAAATGAAAGGGAATAGAATACTCCTTTATTTGTTTAATAGTTTGTCGTAACAAGTAGGGTACAAAAGACAATTCTGTTAAAATAGGTCAAATGTGAGTTTCAGAACAAGTAAAGATAGCCTTTCATAAGACAATATACATCGGACTATAAATTCTTGATTAGCATACATACAGTTCATGTATATAAACATATTTGAAACTTGAAAAAATGAATGAGAGCTTCTGAGTCATCAAATAAATTAATCTGTCTCTTAAAAGTGATCCCTCTATACGAGCGTTTGCTTTTTTAGCCTTTCTTATCTCTGATCTTTAAGTTAATAACACATTACTAATATCTGATACAATAATCTCTATCAAAAGGTACAAAATGATTTGAAACATAATATCACAATAGGTCAAATATGAGTTTCAGAACAAGTTCAGATAACCTTGCATAAGACAATATACATCTGAATATGAATTCTTAATTAGCATGCATACATTGCTTGTATATAAACATATTTGAAACTTGAAAAAAAAAATGAAATGAGAGCTTTTGAATAATTAAATAAAATAATCTGACTCTTTGCAGTGATCCCTCTTTAACAAAACAGTTTACGAATACATAAGCTTATGCATTTATCCTTTCTCATATATGGAATCTACAAAAAATTATTCTAACACTGTTGATATAATGTTATTATTTATTTTCTCTGGACAGAAATTGTTATGAAGATGTAAACTTTTTCTCTGTCAATTATAAATTGAAGGCACATTGACTTCTTCTTCGACTTCATATCCTCTGTTTGTATATACCTGTTGTGGAGCCTCGTCCTTTCTATCATCATTTTCAAATACGCTTTTGTCGTCAATTTGACGCACATGTACGGACGAATCTACAACGAGATGAATTCCTTTGAAAATGTTCACATCAATTTACTTGATTATATATTTGAAATTAAAAATCAACGTTTGATAGGCCATTTGTAGAAAATGTACATTGATTATGAAAAAACAACAAAAGAAAAAAAAAACAAACAAAAAAGAAGAAGAAGAAGAAGAAGAAGAAACAAAACAAAACAAACAATACCCCTCTTTACTGTTCGACGTCGTATTACTCCACATACAACAAATATAGCCAAAGAAGCAATCAGAACTGAAATCGCCAGAACAGTAAGAGATATAACGCCTGCTGTTGATATGCTTGATTTTTCTTTTAGAGACTGCTGGGTAGCGAAAAAAGGTGCCTGTTGAAAATCACAAGGATATCGTTGAACGGACATGAGAAGCAAGCTATCTAATGCTGGCATATTCTGCTCGTACATTATCTTATTCATGGCCATTACATCAGTTATGATAGTTATGGAGCTTAGTGAAGAGGATATTCGAGTATTCTGAAACTTCAGCCCTTCAACTTCGTCAGAGGTCATCAGATAATTTTGGATGTATCTCTCGTCAACTTTGCATCTTCTTGCATTTGGATCAATAGCTATATCTTTTCTGTAATTCACCTTGAGGAATGGCTTTTCTATTTCCTCAAAAATTCTATCAAAATTAGATCCATTTTGTTGCATTGTTACAACTCTTAGGAATGGATACCTCTGGAGTTGGTTCTCGCTGCGTTTTAGCTCCCATTCTTCGGCAGAGGTATCCTGTGACTTTTCTTCCAAAAGAGCACTAGGGCAACCTCTGATTAGGATGCTTTCAACATTTTGTACAAAAGCTACAACATCCCCTACAAATACTTTAATGGCAGATAAGTACATTTTGGGGAACTTAATGCTAATAGCCTTTGTACTTCCTCTGTTGGGATCTCGAATAATGTCCTGCAGTTGTTGAAAACTTGAACTGTTTCTACTGATATATTCTACTCTAAAGTTATTTGCTTGGAATTCTTTTTTGGTCCTGATTACAATGTTGGTAATCATAACATCTACAGCAAAAGATACAAAGTAACTGTTATTCAGATTAATTCTCACGCCAAGTCTGTTATTGTCGGGGAAAATGATACCATTGCAGTCTGAAAATGTAAAAAAAAAACAACGTGTACATGAAGCTTAGATGGAAATAGAATAGGATATTTCATTTAAACATTTTAAGTTTGACATTTGATCATTACTCATATCATCTGAGACCTGATTTAATCTTGTGTGGTGCAGGTTCTTTTTCTTCTATAGTGACCATTCGGTTTTTATTGGACAGCAGATGCGACACTGGTTTACCCCAAAACTTCTTTCTATCAATAGCAGAAACCACCTCTACAAATACAATGTCCTGACGTCTGACGACACTTCCGGCTGGGTGATTCTTACTATGGAATGAAAACTGGGCGGGGTATATGTCAATTTCTGAAGAAAGAAACCATCTATTTAATCATGGAGGTAATTTAGTATTTTATTGTATAAATGAAAAAAAAAATCATAGAAATTTAAGTGATATAAAAGCAAACTTCACTCTAACAGTTATTACCATTGTTTTCTCAATAATATCAACAATTGTTTTGGTAAACGTTTGATAGGATATTTTTGAATGGCTTGACTCAGATCGACGTAATTAAACATGATCAAAGTATTTTTAGTATTCTTTTTCGTCTGTAATCAAGTTAAAAATTCAATTGAACTTTACTCAACTCCAAGTACGAGAGGTTATCAAAATGTTCGTGGACTAGAGCCATAAAATAAAAAACGTGTTAAGGTACATCAATGAATTTTTAAAACATTTTGTTTTCATCTTTTCCATTTATTTAATAAACTATAAATTAGAAGTTTTATTTTTTAATCAGGCGCATCCTCGAAGATGAAATTTTTTCTACATGAGTGTAACTGAGAAAAACCGCTTTTGATGTGAGAATTTTTCATCCAAAAATCCTGTTATTTCACTCACGTGGTATGACACAATGATATGACACAATTGTTCCGTAAAATTTGCAATTTCTACCCAATTCTATAGGTTTTATAATTTTTTTATCGTAAATTTTATATGAAATATCAAAACAAGTAAGGGGCTGTAATGACGACAGAAAGGAGGAGGGGTTTCATTTTCCAACACTCTATAAAGTTTCACTCTTGCAAAAATGTTTTAATGGGCTACAGAGAAATAAAATGCATTCAGAGTACTTTTTAAATGCCGAAAAAATAAGAAAGATTTAAGATGCACAGTTAATGTCGATTTGTAGTCAGGGTGTTTTAAGTTTGTCACGTCGAAAAGTGACTTTGATCATGTGTGATATTAATTAAACTCCGAAAAGCAAATTATGTTGTTATGATCAAGTTAGGATCTTTCACTATGTATAGATCCAGTTACAATATTATGCATTGGAATCAGTTGTTCATGACATTGTAAAGTCATATAAACAAGACGGGTTAATGTCTTTACTTAACTCCAGGGAATCTCATCAAAATAAGTGTATGAAGTAGAGGGAGTAGGCGTTGAGAAACAATGAGTTATCGGGCGTTATGAAACTAAACGGCGACAACGCCGGGTGATCATATAACGTCTTTTTATCTTATGATAATTTGAAAAATTATTGACGTATAAAGCTAAAACTTTCAACACTTTTGTTTTTTTGATGTTCCTTAAAAATTTTTTAAGCACAGACTACATAGTATTAATTTTATACACGTTTATATAAATCTTTGTAAATATCTACGTAAATAGATTGACCAGGTGAAGTATATATATAAATATAAATCAGACGATAATACTCATTTTTCAAAGGCACCTGGCGTTTTCTACATTTTTATTCTTATCACAAAAATATAATCCAAACCTGTGATCTTTAAAGAGAAAATTATATTTGGTAAAAAAATGAGAGAGAGAGAGAGAGAGAGAGAGAGAGAGAGAGAGAGAAGATAATGCTAAGTGCCTGTGTCACTCTTATATAAGTTTGACGCTTATGACAAAAAGCCAAGCCCGCTTAATATTAATTGAATTATGAGCGAGTTTCAACGCAAATCTTAAATCAAAGAAAAGATGTTTGTTTTTTAACATTCTATCGAGAATTTTCACTCATATTGAGGCACCACCACTTGCTAGTGGAGGGTCACAAATTTAGACCTGTATTCGTCATACTCGGCGTTAGAGCCTTTGAGCAGCGAGGTATCTTTTTCATGCCAGCATGTATTGCGCATAGAACCTCGGTTTATACGGTCTCATCATTGCTAAGAATATTTTTTTGAAAAAAGTTTTGATGACCTGGCAGTTTCTTGATTCTTTGTCTCAAATCTCGTTTATGAAACCAAAATGACTAAGTCAAAAATATAAAAAAAAAGAAGAAAAGAAAAAACACGTAAAATGAAGAAAAATTATCAAAACATGATATCTTTATATATAATGAATATAGTGAGCGTACACATTTTCAGACAAATACATGCAGTAGTCTCCAAGGACAGGTACGGACAAAATCATGCCTACAGACAGATGGTCAGACAAACAGACAGCTTGTCGAACAGACAGGTTGGCATGCTGATTCCAATAATACCACACCAAACTTTGTTTTTGGGAGAATAATAATAAGTCAATCTCCATATTAGTGCTCAAAATGTATCTGGGGTCGATAGGGGATCAATGGAAATATTCGTCAGAATGTTTTGTTTGCGTCAATTTAAGAATAATAACTTTTTAAATGTCGTATTCACATCAATTAAATTATATTGTAAAAAGTTGTTAATGCTTTCAATTACCGACTGGCATATTTTCTGGTGTGTTCATTTGAATTGTTTTTTCATATCCCCTTATGTTTAATCTATCTTGCTTGTATTTGAAGATTTTACGATTATCGCTGGTTCGAATCTGAAAACCAATGATAGCTTCCAATCCTTCTGTTCCCTACAGAAAAACATAAAACATCATTTATATACAACTCATAAAACATCATTTATATACAACTCATCAAACATCATTTATATACCACTCATTAAACATCATTTATATACCACTCATTTAACATCATTTATATACCACTCATAAAACATCATTTATATACCACTCATTTAACATCATTTATATACCACTCATAAAACATCATTTATATACCACTCATCAAACATCATTTATATACCACTCATTAAACATCATTTATATACCACTCATAAAACATCATTTATATACCACTCATAAAACATCATTTATATACCACTCATAAAACATCATTTATATACCACTCATTAAACATCATTTATATACCACTCATTTAACATCATTTATATACCACTCATCAAACATCATTTATATACCACTCATCAAACATCATTTATATACCACTCATTTAACATCATTTATATACCACTCATAAAACATCATTTATATACCACTCATCAAACATCATTTATATACCACTCATCAAACATCATTTATATTCCACTTATAAAACATCATTTATATACCACTACATCAATTATATACCACTCATAAACATTATTTATATAACAGTCATAGAACATCATTTATATACCACTCATAAAACATCATTTATATATCACTCATAGAACATTATTTATATACCACTCATAAAACATCATTTATATATCACTCATAGAACATCATTTATATACCACTCATAAAACATCATTTATATATCACTCATAGAACATCATTTATATACCACTCATAAAACATCATTTATATACCACTCATAAAACATCATTTATATACCACTCATCAAACATCATTTATATATCACTCATAGAACATCATATATATACCACTCATTAAACATCAAATATATATACCACTCATTAAACATCATTCATATAACACTATATCAATTATTTACCACTCATAAACATTATTTATTTAACAGTCATAAAACATCATTTATATATCACTCATAGAACATCATTTATATACCACTCATAAAACATCAAATATATATACCACTCATTAAACATCATTTATATACGACTCATCAAATATTTTAATTAGACTACATACAGTGGAATTGACATAGAATTTACATACCATGAAAGTAACACTCTGCATCGCTCCAATCCTGTTGTCAGAAAACGCACTATGATACCATCTTCCGTTCAGATGAGGTTTGCAATTACTTTTCACGTCAAACTGCGCTGTTCTTTCTGCTCCTTCTATATTAACTTGATATTGTAATGATGATGATCTATCGCACCGTAATTTCAAGCTTACCAAATATGGTCGCTCTGAAATTGAAACAAAATCCATTAAGTTTTTTCTCTTTTCTTAACAACATTATTTTATACATCTAAATATGCATTGAAAATATTTTCGAATAGCCAAGAAACTATTTTATTTGAAAATGAGAGTTTTAAACATATGGAATTTATACACTATCTGACTTTCTGAATCGTAATACACATGTAAGAGGAAATTAGGTTCATCTCCTTTGACCTATTATCAAACCGTCTACTTTCCGGTTTCAGAGAAATTCCTTTGCAAATTCAATTCCCTTAAGCTTATATTTGTACAAAGCCATTATAAAATAAAATGATACAACAGATATATATACAGAGGGGACATTTTTGTTTCTTGATTTACTGCAGTTTTCTTAGAAACTAAACGTTCTATAAATCATGAAGACAGCCCTACAAATTAACTGCAGCTAAAGAATAAGGGTTTTTAAGAAAAGCAATAAGTTCAACAGCTTCTTACCTTTGTCTGCTTTTAAGAATATAGAAAAGTCTGTGATATCCCCGTTTGCCACAAATCTGTATAAAATGAAATGAAACTGGAAATTAAGATAATTAAAAATAGTTCTTAACATCTATTTAAAATGAAATATAAATGAATAATACCTTTATGCTCTTTCAGTGCTTCAAAACCTTCATTTCCAAGTGAATAGAGCGACTATCCATGCATACATATATTTGTCCCCTTCAAATTATAGATAAACTTACTTTCTTCGATCTTTTCCTTCAAACGCAGTTTCGAGTTTACTCTCTGGAGCTTCACTGACATCTTCAATGAACTGTCTTCCGATGAACATATCTTCGCCCTATTATAGATTTGCTTTGTACTTTATCTTTTCTTTTACCGTAATATTAAAATCATGCATATTCCAAAAGAATTATTATATATTAGTAAAATTTCAAACCTATATTTATATAATAGTGTTGTACTTTGCATGCACTATGCCTAAATAGTAGTCAGGGTTTGACACATGGTGCACGAGCCGGATATAGTTGGGTCTCTGGATATCACTGGCACATCTGAGTTTATAAAAAGGGAAAATGTTAAATCGTTTTTTTCCACAAGTTTCCAGGTGTGCACTTAACTGGATTTGTCTATATTCAGGTGTACTGATGTGTTGCTTATGTACACGTACACGGGCACGGAGACTGTTGCCAGTTTCACCAATATAATATTCTTTGCATCCAGGACATATGATGGCGTATATGACATCTTTCGTATCACATGACATGTTGGCATTAACTTTAAATTCACGCCCGTTAAAACTATAACTCGTCCCTTCTGTAATGTAGTCACATGTGCCGCAGCGAGGGTCCGTACACTTTGACACTGTATAATTATGGTCAGCGAATTGGGAGAAACAAAGTTTTCTCTTAAGGTTTTTGGGCTGACGTTTACTGCTGATAAAACGACAGTTTTTGTATGTAGTTTTCGTTTGTTCATCCTCTCTAAGTAAGCTATTTAATTCATAAACAATTGAATTGATGTTTTTATTTCTCGGATTGTACGTGTGAACAAAGGGTAAAGTTTCTCCGTCCTTCGCACGTCGTGTGTTTGAAAGTAATTGTGTTCTATCACACTCCTTGGCTTTCATAATACTATTATCTACCAGTTGCTCTGGGTATTTTTGGCTCAATAAATACAATTTTAATTCCTCCAAACGGATATCCCTCGTATTAATATTGCTCACAATGGTACAGATCCTTCTTGCGAGATTATATGGTATAGCCGTTTTAGTATGGTGGGGATGGCACGATCCGAAATGCAGATATTGGTGTGTATCTGTCGGCTTATAGTATATATCCGTATTTAACCTGGTATTATCTTTTGATATAAGAACATCGAGAAATGGCATTTGCGTATCATCTGTTTCCATCGTGAATTTGATATCCGAGTTCATTTGGTTTAGTAGATCGTAAAACTCCGATAATTTGTCGACATCATCATCCCATAAGATAAAACAGTCGTCTAAAAATCTTTTCCATTTAGACTGTATATTATTTACAGATTCTATTCCCCACAACGAACATAATTGTTCATGTAACTTATGTTCTAAATAACCTAAGGTTAATGTTGCATAGGTAGGTGCGACTTTCGTCCCCATTGCAGTTCCCTTAGTTTGAAGGTAATGATGGTCAGAAAAAGCAAATGGATTGTTTTCCAGAACTAATTTAAGTGCTTCTAAAATAAAATTCTGTTGGAATCTGTCATTTAGTATATCGGGATAACTTTCCATCCAAAATTTTACAGCTTCCAATCCTAATTCTGTAGGAATATTAGTATATAAACTAACAACATCAAAAGTGACAAGTTTTGTGTTACAGGTGATCTGAGTAGGTAAATGATTTATGAAATCCAGATCGTCTCTTACAAAGCTGGGTACTTTTTGACAATATGGTTTTAAAAGTATATCCAATAAGTGACTCAGTCTTTGTGTTGATGAGTTTGGTCCTCCTACAATGGGTCTGAAGCATAAATCACCTGGATCAAGACACGTAATACATGCACTATTTTGATTTGCTATGGCGTCCTTAATAATTTTAGATTTGTGAACTTTAGGTAAACCATAGAATTGGCTCTCTCGGAATTCAAAGTTTGTCAGGTAGTCCTGTTCTTTATCTGTTAAACCTTCCGATAGTGGTCCATATACCAGCTTTTTTATTTTAGTAATTGTTTTCTTCTCATGACAATTGTGCAGTCTTTCATAAAAGTTGTTGTCTTGTAACATTTGTAAGATTTTATTTTTGTAAAAATCCTTATTCATTAACACAACTCCACCTCCTTTATCAGCCTCTTTAATAATGATAGTAGGGTCATCGCATAGGCTTTTAAGAGCTTTTTCCTCTTCCTTAGAAAGGTTGGGTTTGATATTTCTGGGTTTGTTTGGAAAATGAATATTTTCTAATGTGTCGCAAACGGCATCCAAAGTTCGATTTCTTCCTCGTTTTGGATTAAACTTAGATTTGTTTCTTACCAGGTCTATTTGTTCTGCTTCTTGAGACTCGGAATCAGATTCATTGGTATCACTTTCATGAAAATATTCATATAGCCTGAGTCGTCGAGTATAGGCTTTAATATCCGTTTTAAGCTCTTGATTATTTACATGAGGTGTAGGGGTGTATTTAAGACCCTTAGACAGTAATTTGATTTCGGAATCCGTCAGATGTCTGTCGGAAAGATTAAATACTTTTGGTTCTATTTTAATTACATTCCTGGGTGCATCCCTGGAATTGTTGTTAACAATTGTGGTAATCGGTTCTTGTATCTTTGGCCTTGGTTCATTTTGCCTCCTCCTAAAAAATAATTGCGTACCCCTCTTCCAATATACGTAGTTCTTTCGTTTCTGTAAAAGTTTGGTGGACGCCTACTTCTAACGTATCCTCGGTAATTTTCATTTTGTCTGTTATTGCCCTGATTCCGTCTTTTTATGCCTTTGTGGTACTTAGGAATCTGTTGATTTTGTGGAAAAGCACTACGAGAAGATTTACTTCTGGATTCAGAATTCTCGTATTGATTCTTATTTGCGGTTTTTCGTTTTCCCGAAAATGATTTTATTCCTTTAGAAAACGATGGTTCAGGCGCATTTTCCGTAGGGAAATCCCCTGTAACTGTAGGATTATTTGCAGAACTGGTTCTTACGGCGGACGCGTAACTTTTCCTTGAAGTTTGTCTTTTATGTGACTACATTACAGAAGGGACGAGTTATAGTTTTGACGGGCGTGAATTTAAAGTTAATGCCAACATGTCATGTGATACGAAAGATGTCATATACGCCATCATATGTCCTGGATGCAAAGAATATTATATTGGTGAAACTGGCAACAGTCTCCGTGCCCGTGTACGTGTACATAAGCAACACATCAGTACACCTGAATATAGACAAATCCAGTTAAGTGCACACCTGGAAACTTGTGGAAAAAAACGATTTAACATTTTCCCTTTTTATAAACTCAGATGTGCCAGTGATATCCAGAGACGGGAAAAAGAAAAACATTTTATTTGTATTCTAAAGCCAAAACTTAATAGTCTCTTATAAACTACCTATGATTTTCCCGAACTTTTTCATCATCATTGCAGTATTTTATCTATGACGTCACAATATAGACATTAAACGTTCCGCTTAGTTTAACGTCATAATCATTGTTACTATGTTACCGTTGTATACATTTTTGTAATGTAAAGCTTCTGAAGATTTTTAATGAAAGCGCTAAAGCTTTACGGAGGATTCTTGTGTTTTCTTTTTATATTTGTTTAATATTGTAATCCGATTACTGAGACTTTATTTCAATTTTGGATATATATATATATATATATATATATATATATATATATATATATATATATATATATATATATATATATATATATATATATATATATATATATATATATATATATATATACACTAGACAAAATTGCTAACGCACCACTTGTTATTCTTATTTGTGAATTGATCATTTTCCTGATTCGTGCTAGTATATAAAATATGCCATCTTTTCCAAAACTGTTGGATTGACAAATGTCTTGGTGTCATGTCAAGACCCTTAAAGGACCTTCTTGTCCGAAAACCAATTTCCCGACGTGCACTGCGCACCGTTTTTGCCAAGATATGAAGTTGGTGATTACCGATGGTGGTCCTTGACGTTGCGACAGGAGCAGTCTCCCGCTTAAAAATCAAATGTTATACTATCGCTTAGTAGTCATCCAGTGCATTGGTGTCCCTACCAAATCCACCCAACTTCCGGTTGCCCCAATTTTGTGGAACAATCTTGAAGTTATTGTATGGTGCTTACTTAATGCCATCGATATTTATTGTAAACATTTTTATGATCGTTAATTTATTTTCAACAATTTTTCACCAGAGAAATGCATAATCTTTGAATTGTTCTAATTTTTCACAAATTTCTTCAAAGGAACCCCCTGCAGACACCATACTGGCTGCCTTATCACGCCCTTCTAGAGTCAAACGCCGCATACGGTGTAACTTTTTTTTCTGAGTTTCTATTTAGTGCAAAGATAAAGAACACAACCATGAAGAAAAAATTAGAAATTTATTCCACCAGAAAAGTATGGATATGATTTTAATTTTTTCTATGAAGTGGTTACGCTTCAGTAAACATTGTTGTTATTTATCAGTTAAAACATTGAAATGTCTCAATTTTTATTAAAGTAACATAATTATATATCAAAAACATCATAAACAAGTTTTGAAAAGAAAAATGTTAATTTATTTAGGTGGTGCGTTAGCAATTTTGTCTAGTGTATGTATGTATATATATATATATATATATATATATATATATATATATATATATATATATATATATATATATATATATATATATATATATATATATATATATATATATATATATATATATATATATATATATATATATATATATATATATATATCAAATTGGTGAAAGGATTAACATAATCTCTTGGATGTATATGGATACGAGACTAAAGATAATCGGTCAAAAAGAACTAACCTAGATATTTTGTGAGTGAGAGAGACTAACCCTAACCATTCGATAAGTTTGGAAGATTTTACCCTAAAAATCTTTGGTTGGTGCGATCGAAACTAACACTTTTCAGTCGAACTATGTGCCAGGACTAATCCTATGTATATTGGGTGGGCGAACAGTTATCTAATAATTAGTCAAACAGCGTACAAGGACTAATCCTTATCAGTCAATTGATGGACAAGGACTAATCCTAATATCCGAGATGTATGCAAGCATTTTAAGCAAAATCAGTCAATTTTTATACAACAACTAATCCTAAATTATTGACTTTTGAATGCTGGACAAAAGCATCAATAATTGACATCGGGATATTGTGAGGTCTTAAACAAACATTGTTTATTTTATAACACCAGCGGACTTTGGTGCGACAGACCATCACAGTTTATGAAGCAGTGCATTTTGTAGGAAAGGAGCGATTGGATTCTAGGGTGACCATCGGATTCCAGCGTCTGTAGCAATACCAAACTATCGCGCGGTACAGCGCGACCATCGTACTTTGGAGTGTTTTTATATGTAGAAAATTCTGAAATGAAATATTTCGCAATTTTTTTTTAAGTATGGTAGTTTCTTGTTCTGGTTTTATCTACAACATTGCACTGTTTACGTCGGTATGGGATGACAATTTCTCTTGCATTTTACGTAATCTGCATTCATTATTTTATTATATTGAAAGATGTGTTCAGGTTGTCGTAAAATACTTTGGTATTTTTATTTTATAATTAGAGTTAAATGGATGGAAAATTCAAAAATGCCTCTGTTTTTATAGTGAAATTGGCCTGTGTTTTTATAGTGAATTTGAGCACGGAATGTTTCGTCTATCTAATCCATACATAGTGCTCAGAATGATAAGCAAGGGAAGCTTACTCCTCCCAGGCACCTGATCCCACCTCTGAATTTTCCAGAGGTCCGCGATTTATGTCCTCTAACATATTTGTATTGTTTATAGATTTTTTGAGGTCGATCACGGTTCGTTATTTTCATCTTTTACATATTAAGGTTTTGTAAAAACTAACCTCCAAGGAGGCGAGCTTGAAACTCTGACCATACGCCAATGGAGTTCCCAATGTTGTAGAATCCCCTTCAATCGATTTGATTTGAAAAAGTCCGTTATAATCCGTAATGCTATCAACTGAAAAAAGTGAAAAAGAATTGGTCAATTTGTTTTCAATAATATGTGATAAAAAATAGAATAAAAAATGAATTCTCATATTTGACTGATACCATAAAGTTTACCGATCAAAATATATATAAAAAAACCCATTCAACATAACTAAATCCTTACAGATAGTTCGAATCGTTATTATGCAAATTATATGATTTTTGTATCCATACCTGGTACCAAGGGTTTGGTAACGACTCCGTTGAGGTAGCCAGTAGAATTGGACAACGCTAAAAATTTCCTTGTCTTAATATTCTCAACAGTGAAAAAATCACCAAACCTTGTAATTCATTATAATAAAACATATAATTATAAAATATTATGTGATACATAAATTTTTCTTTACATTGAAGAAAAAGTTTCATAAGTCATACAGGCACACTGTGTTTTAAAAGAACATCATTTTATCTTAAAAGGTATATGGCTGAGGAAGACCTTAATTAGATTTAATGTTTAAAGTTCTTTTTTAATCTATGCCATGGGAGTTTCATATACATACTGTGTCAAAAAATTAATATGTTTATTTTAATTTTTCTGAATTTCTTTATGCGTAAAAGGTAACCAGCATTTCCTTACTTAATAATATCGATAGCATTGGTGACGTCAGTAGCTTGTCTTTTACGTCGTGCCCCCTGTGATATGTAGGAATCGTCTGGTGGGTTACAAAGGGAGGGTGACACCGTCTGCGTACAATAGGTATACAGGGCTTTACGCAGACATCGGCGTCGTTCAAACAAACCTAAAAACAGCACATATACTTAGACAATTTAGATTAGACAATCTAGATTCTTTCAATTTTCAAGTCGTCTTCAGAGTTATGAGTTTTCTAGAAGAATTAAAAAGCGACACTTATGGTAAATATTTTTAAATAACAATTCTGAATCATTCATATCATATGAAGCTTACCGAAAGAGTAAAATCCTCTATATAGATTTCGATTTAAGGGAGCCAACTGTGGTTTTTTTTTTGTGTGAAAACTACTTTATTTTATGCCATATGTACCTTACATTTAGTTAAGTATACATGCGAAGTTTAGTGAAAATCTACCGTCTGGTTATATTTTAGAGACCATCTCAAAATACAGGTACATGATCATTTACTATAGGATTATATAGAAAAATATTATTTTTTCCGCATTACAGAGTTTTACAGAACATGACAGATATCGCAGATTTATATAAAAAATAATAATAATAATGATTGTGAGATTCTCAATTTCCTATGTTTAAATTTTCAATGGCATCTATTTTGTACTTTTATTTTATGACATAATTAATGGCCCCTTTAAAGAACTTCGGTTTTTCATAACGTCAAAAACACACTATTAAGACGTGTACCTACCCATCATTTGAAAAATCGTTTAAAAAATCAGTTATTTAAAAAGTTATTAGATTTTTTAACCTGAGATTTCCTAATTTTATTGATTTTTATAAATTATGTAAAAATTGTTGCTTAAAAAAGTATATACGCTTTGTTTTACTATGCTGCGCAAAGTTTTGTGCAATGAAAACCCCATTCGACCCCCTTAAAATACTTATTAAAACGTCTAAAAAGGAAAACTTTTGCCAAAATCAATAGCATCCAAACGTACTACTTTTCAGATTAAAACGCAACAGAAGGCACCAAAATCTATTACTTTTTACATTTAAAAATATTCTAAACGATAAATTAAAGGCTTTTGAAATTATGGACAACTGCTTCTTTAATAACCATATACCTAGAGAATTTTCATATTATATTTCAAATTTTATTCATTCTGATTCTATATAATAAGTACTCTGAAGTTGACATTAATTAGCTTCTTGAATTCCTCATTTACAATAGGATGAACGTGTATTTGGAGATCAGTTTTTATTACCTACATATTGGATTTCCTTTGGTCATTACATAGTTATTTTAGAAGACTGTTTTTGTATTTTTATAAATAAAAATTACTAGTTTACTAGTTTAAAAAACTTCTACATAAGGGAAGAGGTATCCAGCTTTGTCATTGAATTAGACACTAGAAAATATCAATGCCGTTTTATGAATGAAAAATATTTATTTCCATTCATATGTGTATACGACATATGCTACTGAACTCTGAATAAAAGATACCACAAAGTCTGACACACCTGTTTATATTTGAATGTTTTACTAAAAAACAAACATTGATTGTAAACAAAAACCTGTACAGTTTAATGAATGTGAAAATTCATTTTTTTATCTTCAGCATGTGCTCTAAATTTTATTTTTCAATTGAACATAATAACTGTACATAATCTTTAAATATCATACCATGACAGGAACAGTAAGGACTTATATTTGGGAGAGGCATAGCAATTACTTAGGATTTATAGGAGATATGCACTCAAAATACTTAAAGCTACATCGAGGTCATGTATTATAATTATGTGAAGCATTGTTGAGAAAGGAAGCCAAATAAAGCTGCATTGAGGAAGGAAACACTAGTTGAAGTTGTACTGAGGACTTGAAGCTTTAAATGTGGAAGATAGATGCGAAAAGTACTCTCAAGATTATTAAAGACAGACTAAAGTAAAGTATCAGTAACTTTAAAAAGAAATTAAGGGTACCAAAGCAACAAAAAAGTCCATATGTATTATCAAGAGCTTTATTGAGCACTGTGCAGTAACGTTAAAGAGAAGACAGGCATGTTAGATAGGGGACAAGTACGTTAAATAAAGAACAGGTACGTCTAAACGATGATAGATACTTTAAATCGAGGACAGGTAAGTGATAGGTAGCTGAAGTTATATTTAGGATTAAACCTTAAATACTTGAGTATCAAAGACAGACACTACTACTAAACTTGTATTGAGAGTATAGTACGTGTAAATGAGGATGTATTGTGAGTTAGCACAGAAGTACTAGGATGAGTTAGCACGGAACGGGTTGCGTTTTTGAGGTACTTGAAGTACATTAAGTAAGAGAAATGTGTATAAGTTTATCCTTTTAGTTAGCTCAGCCGATTAAACTGGTTTTTAATATGATTATCATATTTTTTTTATTTATTTACATAAATAAACATTTGATTGTAAAAAAAATTGTTTTCCCTTTCCAAATTAAAATGATATTTTATGTTCAGCATTCCCAGTCTTGAAAATTGAAACAATGAAGGATATTTTAATAAGAATTAAATGCGTATACTAACCATATGTGATGTCATTAAAGTATCCAGGTTTCAACAACGTATCAATAGACGTCATCTTATACTGAATTGGCACTGGTTTCTCATCGGCGGATGTTGCCCACTCTCTGAGACTCTCCGTACTTCCTTCTGAGAAATCTCCAGCTGGAGGGTTTCCACCAATATAGTACTCATATTGTTCCTTGTTGGTGTTACTCACTTGTTGTTTTGCATCTTTTTGTGAACCAACACCCACACTGAAGCCCCCACCAAAACCGCTGTATGATGCCTCAGCAGCAACCTGCGGTTCAAAAGTGTGAATTTCTTTTACTACCATGGTAATTATTTTATTTTGAAATAGTATACATGCAAGGATAACGTTTTATAAATGTCGGCAGGGCATGCTCACTCAGTCATGGCACTTATCCCACCACTATCATTTTTTGAGTTCCGTGTTTGCTCTGTTCCTGATGTATATTACTTGAATTGACTTATGAGCTTGAATAATTTTCATTATCTCCATATTTCATGCCGCTTTCTGAAGTTTTTTTTTTTTTTTTATTTTTTCCATTCAGATAATAAATCCATCTAGAATAAAGGGGTCTGGTATTTACATTGGATTAAATTTAGAATTATTATATTTGGTTACAACATCCTTTGACCATGAGTCTTTAACAGATATAGCCCTAATTGAATTTAATATTAAATCAATCACATTTCTGTTTTAGCAGTGTCCTCTAAACGGGAGTAAAAATGTTTTATCCTTTATCCGAAGCCTTTGATTTTTTAAAAAATGTAAATGCGACGCTTTGATTTCTTTTGAAGTTAAGACCAATTTGAAAGAATAACATATGTTTTAATATACTATAACAACTCCGAGCATAGGAATCATACATGCTGGTTTGTTACATGTGTACATTTCTCATATTCATCTTAAATTAAAGCTTTGAATACTTGTGAAGACATACGTATTCTAACTTCAGTTAAAACTAGATATTAAATTTAAAAACAATTTCGAAACAGTTCGAGTTTTGAACTACATTTCATTGACCTTGGCAGATATTCCTTCCGATTCCAGTTTTGACAAATCAGAACTGGAGAAGGTAAGTTGTTGTACTGCCTTAGCTCCCATGACCACCTGGGTTGTGTAATGGGTTCCAAACTCCCGGATGAAGTTGAGGTACATTTCTTGCAGTGAATCATCCTCACAGTTCTCCATAGGGAGGAGCGTTACAGCTTTCTCAAAGTAATCAGAGACCTGAAATAGGAAGAAATTATTACTGAGACAGACCCCTGACATTTCTAGGATGTTGCTTTAAAAGATTTACCTCGGAGATTTACTGAAACACGATTTAAATCTTACAATGTGGCACATTATTTGGTCACAATGTGTAAAACTTGCATTTTGTTAGTTTTTTTTAGATTGAATAAGACGATAACTATCTTTTTATTATGTGTCAAATCTAGAAAAAAATAGGTGGAAAAAATTTAATATTAGATTTCTTGTAAATTGACTGATTTAATTGGAAAAAATGTGTCGCACCGTCAAAAGTGACACTGTATTTCAGACTTGTGAAAGTTTCAAAATGGTAGACATATGAGTAATAACATTTGAAGTACTGTGCGTTATGAATAAAACATTTATGGATCTATTACTTTGCTGTAATAATTCTGAAAATATTGAAATCCGACATCCGGTCAGCATTCTCTAAAATGAGGACATATATCTTCAGGATATAATATATATATATATATATATATATATATATATATATATATATATATATATATATATATATATATATATATATATATATATATATATATATATATATATATATATATATATATATATTATACTTTTTTTTTACATTTACAAATATTGATTACAAGTTGTATGCAAATTATAAGAATTATAAAACGCACACATAACAAAACAAACACCTTATGTTCACTACCTTAGATATTTTGGATGTTTCAGACATCCGGGCTTTGTATGCGACAGCTCGGCTAACGATGCTTAAGGTGGTTGTCTCCCCTTTTTGAATTTGTTGTGTATTTTTTTGATAGGATGCACTTGCACTGAAGCTGGCACTGACTCCCCATCCACCACCATGAGCGTTAACCTTTAAAAATATGTGTGTCTTAAGCAAAATTTTATATTCAAATCACAGCGTACAGTAATTAAGATATTCATTATAGAGGAATTCAATTGAAAAAAAAAATATCGACTTGAAAAATCAAAACTGTTGAATTAAACACAAAATACGAAATCTTTCATAGGGAAAAAAAAAGAAGAAAATATGAATAGACACCGAAAATAAAAAGGATATGGTATGACATAAGTTGCTATTTAATATTTAGGGAAACCTCTTTGATTTAGCAATGCTAGCATAAATTCATGTCATTGAATGTATGCCTAAAATTTATTAGTTTTTTGCCTTAATTGATGTTAAAAATTAAATGGTTTTATTACTCACATACACACCAACAGTACAAAAATTGTATATATTACAGTATATATCATAGTATAATAGATATAGTATAATATAATAATAAAATTTAATAGTTTTGTGCATATGACCATTTCCTTGAAAAAGAGTTTACAAACATATCAAATTGAAAGTACGTCATGTAATTATTAAATAGTCATTGCTCTGCTTTGGTGAAACCAAAATTAGTGGTATGCCGCTAGCTTCGTTATCGGGAGGTGCTGGGTTCAATTCTCGTTTTCGGTGGCGCATCATCTTAAGAAGTTAACATTGTATAAACTGTTCCTTCGACAAGAGACCTTAAAACCTTTTACGATAGGCGTTTGCACAATAGAGAACTTTAACTGTTTTGAAAGGTCTAAATTTAAAGCCCTTCACGCCTCATATATTCTTGCAAGGGACGTACAATAACAATCAATCAGTCAATAAATGCATGCGTGAAACCTCGCTGTTCAGACCATTATGTTCTTGGACGAATAACGTGCCCCCTTTTTATGTTGCAAATCGCACGAAAAAAATTCCTAATTCATAAAAATATACACAGTAAATGGTTAGAGCATACCGAAGCATCTACGCTCAACATGCTTTTGTAGTCCGACTCCGACTGCACCTTATACAGAGAGGACCCAAACCTAGCACTAAAATTTAGAGAAACACATTATAATTACTTTGAACAAAGATGTAGAATAATTCATAGAAAAACATGACTCTACAAAAGGGTAATAATGACAAACATTAGTATTTACATTGAAACACATTCAAAAAAATATCTCTATTTTTTTACCGTGTTAGTTTACTAATGTTTCAAAAAATAGGGTTACACCTGTTTCTTTTCATAGCCATCGATTCATTTGTTCTTAGAGAGTGTATACATTAATTCGTGTAATCTATTATTCCCAATAGTCCTTTAGAATATGGAGTGTGAACAAGTAAATAAACTAATTCTGGACCTTGTTTCTGCAATTACATCAACATTGTCTGGAATTCGGTAATATCCGTCTGCAGTGAACTTGTTCGAATATGGTAAATCAATTACTGGGAGGCGAAATCCTTGATCCACCACTCCGTCGTCGCTGAGAGGATTTCCTTTGAACAAATCGTATCCTCGGCCTATGTATCCCAGGTTATAACGGGATTCCGTGGCAAAAAACGGAGTCTGTGCTGCGCCGGTGCCACTTAAAGCTAATGGAAATAATATATCAACAAAATAAGAAACAGTTACATTTAGGCAGGTTTTATTGGAAAAATATTCTCTCTCTTTCTCTCTCTCTCTTCTTAAAATATAAGAACAAGACCTCTTGCTTTTCTTTCTTCTGCCTCTTGTACTTCCGTTGCAGCCAATTTCTCGGGGAGTCTAGCGTGTAGACTAGCGTTCATCATGCTTGTTGAAAGTTGTAACTGCTGGAAACGAAATCCGCTCACCATTTCATCCAAAGACACTGAAAATTGTCATCAAGAAACATTATTTCAATTTAATTATTCAACTGATGGCTTAGCAAAGTAACTGATAAGCAGACAGAAAGCTAATGAGGTTTAGTGTAATTTTTTGTGCGATGAAAAGAAAAATCAGAGAGGGTATTCATGATATTGTAGAGATGATTTTGGAGAAAATTTTAGTAGCTGAATGTTGCAGCTCAGGACGGTAGTAACAGTTTTAAAAGCAACCTCCCCCCCCCCCCAAAAAAAAATCTGGCAAACATAGAAAAGAAAAAGGAAAAAGTAAACTGTCCAAACTAGAAAATCCTATTTCGTGGGGGTGGGATGGCTTGGGTGGAGTGGTGTGGGTGGGGGTGGATTTTCTTATTTTTTTCTTAAAATGCTAGAAATTGCCACTGCTCAACCATACAGCAACAAAAAGTAAGGGAAACCAACATCTATTAAACAAAAGCAAAATACTACACCCGGAAAAAATAGTCCTGGCTTCCTTTTTTACGGGGCTCGGTTTTTATAGCTTTATATAGCAATTTTGTACCGATTTATTTTGATTAAATCAAGCAAGATATCTATGAAGGTTTAGAAAATTAATCTCTAAGGATTCTTGCAAAGCAATCAAATGCTTAGCAGTGATGAATTTGGGCCATTCAGAAATGTATAGCATTAGAATACCTTTATACATAATTATTTAATAATTGATACATTTTCAACCGAATCCTATAAGTAAAACAGAGAGATGATTACTGTCTACAACGAACTCAGTTTTTGTTTTACAACTAAATAAAACTACGAAGAAAATGAATAAATAGAATAAAATAAACTAAAATTACATTACATTACATTACTCGAGGATCGCGTAGTTCACCATGTCGTTAAGTACGTGATGGCTAAGACGCGTGCTATAAAATCATATAAATTATATACTTTATACTAGTCAAATACCGAAGAAAATATGAAAATAGAACAACAAACAATATCGATCTTTAATGCCAAAAGTTTTTTTTCCGATTTAGGAAAGAAATAACAGGCATATGAAAAGATGCTCGTACGAAAATCAAGATATTGACAAGTCGATCTGACGGGAAAAATTGCAAAAGACGGTATAGGAATCCATGATAACATCTAAATAAAGGAAATTATGAAAAAAAGGGAGAAATGAAAAGTTGGTAAAAAAGAATAATTTGACACAATCGCAGAAATCAATTCCAGGATTCCCGATTTTTTAAATTTTTTCTTCAGATTTAGGGTGCACAAAACCAAGAAGCGGGCAGGTGTTCTACATGGGGAAAAGAACTTGGAATGGCGTCATGTATTATGCTTCAAGGCTTGTGACTAGTCATACTTTGTAGATCGTACACTGATAAAGATGTATTCGATGGGAATTGACAAAAGAAATCATTACAGGGAATGT